TCCAGTTAAAGAATTAAAAAAATTCTTAATTGAAACAACTCACAAAATACAAAATAAAAATTTTAAACGTCTTAATATTTTAATAATAATTAAGACTAAAAATAAAAAGATAAAAGGTTAAGTTATTTTTTTAAAATTACATTACTTATGAGAGATTTTGATAAAAACACCAAGTGTGAAAAGATTCTAAGTCAGAGAGAGCACAAACGCGAAACAGTCTGGTGCAGAGACGCTTCATGACCAGANTTAAATCATAGAAAGCACAATCGCGAAATATTCTGGTTCAAAGATATTTCATGACCAAAATTTTAGAAAAAAGATGAGCTGGTAAATGAGCTAAAAATCGCTCTTTTATAGGCCTGTTTTATGAAGGGGAGACTTAATATTTTATTTTAATTGCAAAATCCTTCTCAATTGGCTAGTCAAGGAAATTTGAATAGACCTGTACGCAATCTATTATTCTACTAATTTGAGTTAATGTTTCATATTTGTATTGGTGTTTATATCTATCATCTTCCATAATAATGTGGTTTATTAGAAAAATTATCAATATAAAAATATAAATAAAATAAAATTATAAGTGCTAAATATCTATTACAAATATATACATAAAACCTCATATCATTTGATATTTTCTGAAGAACAGAGCTTTGATTCTTACAATTGTGGACACTTGTGTTTAAAATTTCTGTCTGAACCATGGTTAGCATAACGTTAAATGGTGAATCTTCCGAATTGAGTTGTGATCTCTTTCCGTCATTGGAGCTTCAACGTGAGAGTGAAATAGCTCTCATAAGTTTTCAGAGTAACAATTCGATACCTAATATTACCTCGTCTAATAATAATTTTCAATACGAGTATGTTGATATAAACAACGAATTTGTAACGGAATCCATAGAAATACCTATACATGTGAAATAGAGAGTTTGGAAATGTTCATTAGAAAAAAAATGGAGGAGAGAGGATTTACTTTTGCATTAAAACCAAATAAAGTTACGTTGAAATGTGAGATGTTTTGCAGCGTGGTCGTTGACTTTTCTACACCTAACAGTATTGGACCAACCATTGGATTTAAAAAGTATAGGTTTTATGAACCTAATGTACGTCATACATCAGATTATATTGTTAAAATAAATCCAAATAATTGTATAAATATATCATGCAACCTAATTGAATCATCATTTGTTAATGGAACACTGAGTCACGAAATTCATCAGTTTTATCCGTCAGTAACACCCAAGTACAAAATTATTGAAGAACCGAAATATTTAGTTTATTACCCGCTAATTACTAATAGTATATCGCGCGTGAGTCTTCGAATAACCAACCAGGACGGTAAATTGATTGACTTTAAAGGAGAGCCGATCACAATACGTTTACATATTAAACGATCACACGTATAAAAATGGCTCTGAAATTTTCTAGTATAAATAAGAGTGCATCCGGTTATAGTAAGTCTATTGATTCTCAGAAGCGAAAGAAGTATAAGACTATTAAAAAATATTCTACAAAAAGAAGCAAGAAAATCAGAAAGAAAAAGTTATCTAAATCAAATCTACAATTTCTACAAAGTGTTGGAGCATTATGATGGAAGAGAAGACTTTAGACGTGATGGCCGAGTGCATTGATGATTGTGCCATTATTCATCAAGAATACCACTCGTATTTACCATTTTCTGCATCCGCACTGTCTAATAACGATGAAATTAGAATTTCAATTCAAAACTCTAAAGGGTATTCAATTCCTAGTCAGAGTTATTTGTATATTGATGGTAAACTAGAACGCCCGGCAGGAGTTAGCGGTGACATTAAGTTTATAAATAACGGATTTGATTATTTATTCTCAGAACTTCGTTATGAAATTAACGGAGTTGAAATTCAAAAAGTACGAAATCCTGGAATTACTTCAACTTTAAAAGCTATGTGCTCGTATACCATGGGTGAAATTAATGAATTAAGTGCTATTCGGTTTGACGCAATAAATTTTAACAATAGTGGTTTCATGAGTGGAGACAAGTTTTCAGTGTGTTTGCCCCTCAAACATTTCTTTGGATATTTTGAGGATTATAAAAGAATACTTATGAACTTTATTCAACAATTAATACTTAACAGAGCATCAAATGATGTTGATGCGATACAAGTATTCGATACTAATACTACCGCTGGACCCGAATTAGCGAAGACTAAAATAATTTTGAACAAAGTATTNCTAGCGACGACTAAAATAATTTTGGACAAAGTATTGTGGAAAATGCCTTTGGTCAAAGTATCAAACAAAGAAAAATTGAAGTCAATGAAGGTGATTGATAGTCACAAATCTATTAAATGTCCATTTAGAACTTGGGAATTGGCTGAATATCCGTTTTTACCTAAAGCTTCGCAACATTCTTGGACGGTGCGAACATGCAATAATTTAGAAAAACCAAGATATGTTATTATCGGTTTTCAAACAGATCGTAAGAATATGGGAAATAAGTCTATGNAATCGTAAGAATATGGGAAATAAGTCTATGACTGTGTTTGATCATTGTAAATTGACTAATTTGAAAGTATATTTAAACAATTAAGTTTACCTCTATAAAGATTTCAAAACAGACTATGTCAATGGACTTTACCCTCTTTTTTATGACTCTTATATTAAATTTCAAAAATCATATTATGACAGAGACTGGGCTTCTCCGTTACTCAGCCAATCAAAATTCAAAGAGATCATGCCTGTTGCTATTATTGACATGAGTCATCAGGACGACAACTTAAAACATTAAATTACGGTTAATGTTTAAGACTAGTTTTCCCGAGTTTTTTAAGAATGCATTATTACAAAAAAAAAAAGAATACATTGTTTTGTTTTAAGATAATCAATAACAATTAAATACAACTAAC